TGTGTATCGGATGAACAGCTAGTAGTTAATCAGGATGAAAGGTAAATAGCCTCTCTGCTAATATAGATAGCTGTTAATTGAATTGGCTTCTTTCTATATTTAGTAGACCGTGAGTTTAATGCAAGTTTAGCGGGGTTAATTTGAAGTAAAAACAATTTAGCAGGGAGTTCCTGAAGCTACCGAGGGCTTTCAGGCACGCTACACATATAACTAACACTTAGCTAATTGCTGAACCAAAAATGAATAGACTAAGAAAAAATAAAACTGAGGGTGAATATATTCAGTTGAACACTAACTTAATATAATTAAGTGAACATACGCGCGTGTGATAGAAATAAACGCAAGGTATCATTTTTTATACGGTGTCGGGTCGATTATCGCCAGCGCACGTGACAAAGGTAACTGACGCATCAGTTAATTTAAAAAAAAAAAAAAAAAAAAACGCTAGTTTTCGTACACTGCTGCCGTAAAGGATACACCGAAAAATAGACTCGTTTTGGGAGGGTGAAACACAAAACATTTAAACAAGATTAAACTTGCAGAACCTTAATCGGATGCATTGCGAAGAGTATAAAATTTTAAGTAGAAAAAACATGGCTGAAAAAGGAAGGCTATGGACGAAGCTAACTATGATGCTATATAATGATTTATGTACATCCTCCCTCCTGTTAGAGCTCATAAGCACTGTGTTTATGCTATTTTACTACGTTGATTGTAGCACAACAACATAGCAAGCGGAACAGTCCAATATGTAAAATCGGATCTAAGATATTGATTCAAATATTGACAACTATGTAAGTGGCACAATGCGAAACAAGGCGTCTCTTGTCTCGTCTACCGCTGTGACCGCCAACGTGTACCGAACAAAGCAACGATATTCCGTTCAAAAGCTTTAGAACAGAATCCGCCAGATATGAGGGTAAGCGTGTACATTTGTTGAGAGCGCTGAAACAGCCTGAGCATTCGACGCATAGACACTATATGGACGGCAACGATCGCTCCAAAAACGATCGCTGCGAGTGAGAAAAACACACATCTAGGAGACTGTACAGCGGGAATCTTCCCTAGATTATTAAGTTGTTTACCAAGCGCGTTAAGTTGAAAGTACTGAGACGTCGATCGTGCCAAGTGTCGATAATTAAAAGCTTAGTAACTACAAGTACGTAGCCTTACAGTTACAAAAACAGAAACGCTAATCCGTTGTGATGCTGGAGTGGCGCAAGGTAACTGCGAATAGAATTGGTTTCGCTAAAAATAAGAGTATGTATTTACGCGTGCCGATAGCTGTGCAGAGATAGACAGTGCAGAACAGACCGTGGAAATTAAAGCAGACAAACGAGTAAAGGACTAATGGTTCTGTCGTAAAGAGAGCGGTAACAACACCGAAACTAAATTTTACTCAAGGAGTATTTCACAAATCAACAGATAGCCGAATAAAAACACAGCCGTCACATAAGCACGTACGTTTTTCTGCTAAGTGCGTTGCATTTTAGGCCGACCAACAAGTAGCCCCTGCCGCTTGTGAATATATTAGTTCTGGCCAATTATATAATGGAAGCTCATCATGAGCTTTGCGTCATCTCGGAGATTGTATTCTTATGTCTATTGATTGTTTACATTCTATTTAAATACCTTATAATAAGCTAACCAGTAAGGGATTATTATTGAAACCAGGTGTAATTTAACCGGAGCTATGGTCGTTGCTGAAAAATAAATCAATGAATCTGCTACCTTTTTAAGGATACTGCTGATAAGGCACTTTTGAGTCACCCGTATCAAAATATAGGAAGGATCATCGATCGACTTCTACAAAACCAGCCAGTTTGTATGTAGGTGATGAACTAGGTGATGCAGAGTTTACTGGATCCGTACAACCACGAATCGCAGAAGTTTATAAGCTTGATTATTATGTTATGACCAAGCCTCTGGCTGAAAACGGTCACGCTTGTAGTCCCGCTAATGACACATCCTGTGTGAATAAGGAACGCTACTCGTATATCAACGATATTAAAAATTGTTTCCTCATGTACAATGGCTACTCAGTTACTAAAGGGTGTTCTATTCTAAAAGTACCATTTCCTAGTTTTTAAATACTTTAAACGTTCAGAAGAATCTATAGCAGGATGGTGGATTCGACAAACCTATACTTAATAAACGAATCCTAAAAGGAAACGCTCTTCAAGTATCTGTGTTCCTCTTATCATGATTAGGATGTAAACGCCTTACCTACCAATGCTTTGTAGGTTTTAAGAGATCATAAACTTAAGAATATACGTTTGAAATTCTGTTTGCATAGAGGGGTCAGGTACATTATGGAAATGAAAATAATTGTCTAGGTGTATTTACAGTGACTCCAAACGTGTCCTCAAACGGAATGTAAGTTATTCAATAAAGAATATGAAATTTCTAAAAGGACTGTATAGGACGTCTACACCCCTAAATAATTGAATCAAGTCAACGAGTGCCATTAATATATAGAAAAGGTTCACGGTCAGGCAACGTATTAGAAATCGAGAGAGAGATGGTAGGAAAAATAAAAAATAACCGTTATAGTGTAACTTACTTGTTGATGTATTATGGACGTTGGCCATGTAGCCCCTGGCAAACTTATATCTTTCGTAACTGTGGAGTGGAACAGCATCACAAAAGCAGTAAGCCCGGGATACCAACGCAGTTGTACGCTTTTTCTGTCTGTCCTTGATGAAGAGATGGAAATACTCATCAGCCTATAAAGTGCTATTTAAGTCGGTTAGGTTAAAGAGAACAGACTTGTGTGGCAGCGTGTGAGTCACATGAAAAAAACCCTTTACAATTTATATTGATTTTCGTTGTCGAAAATAATTGGATTCCGGTCCCATATAAGACTTGTTTGTTACCGTAATCAGTTGTCTAAATGACATTTAATCAGTATCGGTAGGGAGTAAACTCGAATGAATGGAGGCCCAGTCGGATCCACGCGAGACCTACCAGATGCTCAAGCAGAAGTTGCTTATACCGTTGGGCTCTACCTCGAAAGCCCCGACCTGCAATGCCATAAAGCAGTCGTACTAACCGAAATTACGAAGCACGTTTTGCATTCAGTACTACTGATAGTTAGTTATATAATCGTAAGTGATGTTTTTTTGTTAATTAGATTCTGCTTTTACGAAGTCTGACGAACATGTAAGCACATATTCATACTTGCTAGACAAGGACAAAAAGTAATTTACTTTCATAGCAGCAAATAGCTTAAGTACGTCAAAATTATAACAGTAACGAGAAGCGGAAAACCTCGATATCATGGAAGTAGCAACCTTTCCAACATGTTTGTACGTAAGTGGCGCAAGGTTTACATTAGTGCAGGCTACAGCATCACAGCTATGATGTCCGCTAGTTGACGATTGCTACAGGACAAAGTTGGCGCACTACCATGATCTGATCAGACTCCTTCGTTCGTGGTCGGATGAACTACTTTGTCCTAAATCGGTCATCTCCCTGTTGCCCTCTTTTTCCTTTTATTAATGGACGATGTTGATCATCAGCAGATGTTTATATGGCTAGATTATTTGCTCAAACAATGCGGTCCAACCAATGCCAACATATAAAACTATAGAAAAATATATAGAAAAGGCGGTAGCTAAATGTACTGTCAATACTTATGACAAAACATTGTAGATAATGCGTAAAAAAGGATCGTTTTACTAGAGCGGAAACACAGTGACGTCGGGATTACCGTGACCGACCCTGCGTATCAAGCAAAATACCCCACAAAGCAGTGGGTGAAAATACGGAGCGAATCTCGAACTGATAGCGATCTGGACATAAATGGCTTCTAGTTCAAAACCAGGATGTACATGTTCATGTCAAAACAGCGTTTCGATTAAATTCGTTGGTGAAGTTACGTTTATCTCATTTTTATTTTCGAAATGTCACGATGTCTAGTAAGATTTCCAGAAGCAGAAATATATATATATATATATATAAGCAGAAAAAAGAAGACACAATGATAGCACCTCTCTTGCGAATAACCTAGTCAAGGACGTGTAACGCTTAACGAGTGAATCTATTGCGAGGTTTACACTCGCCCGAAATACGCATAATCTATGTTTGTGAGGCGTTTATTTAATATCTAATATTCATGTTTAATATTAGTAAATGGCCTTCCTGTCGTCTGGTGCAAACAAGTGAAAATGCATGCATTAAAACATACGTTTACGTTCGTGAAGTCCAAATACTTTTCTGCCGTCTCTGAAGAGAGTCTCCTCCGTCGTCTTTGTATAAAATGGAGAAATTTTCGTAATGGAAGACTTCATTCGTTGGACAAAAAGCGTGTTCGGCACAGTAACTATCATCGCTACCATTGAATGGAAGTAACACTATGGTTTATTGATCCCGCCTCTTTCACTTTATAGCTGAACCATATAAATCGATTTTGTCCTTTATGATTATTCTATTGAAGCCTAATCGATGTTTGTGGCTCCGACATCAATTCTCCACTATTCGCCCGTCCTATTAGTAACTGACTGTCTAGTTATGCTTCTTTCTTTCCCTTTTTTCTTTCCGATGTATCCGAGAAGCCGACAAAGACTAACATGTGGAAGCGCTGTATAAAGTGCAGCTGATTTGAGTTCAGTTTCTCTAGTGCCCTAATATTTCAGGCCAGATTTTTTTTATGTAGGAAAAAACGTTAGTAAAACGTCCTAAACAGTGGGTGGATATTGCTGCTTGTGCTATGAAGGGGGAAGGAGGTAGTCGGGTCAAGCTCGTTACAAAAAGGACAGCAAACAATGAATGAATCATCAAAGTCTTTTGTCTCCTTCTTTCTATTGGCCTCCGTCATTGTATGCGCATCGCATGTATGTACACCCATTTGCCTTTTGGATTTGCCGAACTCTCTGACCGTTTTTCGTTATGCTTTCAGCTTCATTTCTGAGTTAGTTGGCTTTCGGCTTGTTTTTTGACGTTGACTTGCCGCTAGCACTGCTAAAATTATTGTTCAGTTTTCATGATTTTCTTTTCAGTGAAGCAAGCTCCGTTTCATCTAGTCGTTATTGCTTGCGCCAACTCCCGTGAACTGCTGGGTGACGATGATCCGTGGAGGCTACGTACGTAATGCATTCGCACAGCCCGCTTCTGAATATCGTCAAACTACGTCAGCCTGCGCCGCGCCTTCTTAGTAGGTTAACTGTCGTGAAAGCCGCCCCAACTTCTTGCGATTAAAAAGTTCAGCTGTTATGGCCATACAGCGTGAGCAGGCTATAAGGCTAACATACGTCAGTCACAGATCCGATAGGCGTGGAGGTATATACCGTTAGATGCAAATTTTTAGGTTTAAAGCTTTTTCGTAAAATTGTACTGCTCATTAAATAGTTTCTTTTCCAAAGCTACGAAACTTCACTTGTTATGCGTTCCGTGGACTTAAAATGGTTTTGACTTGTGAGGCCCCATACGACGGTCCCATGCAGCGTTCGACCACGGGAAGCCCAAATTTTAGAATTATTACGTCATTCTGCTGCAGTGAGTGGTGTTATATATCTGTGGGTGTCGACCACAAGTGCCAGTTGGCACTACAGAAAGAGATTCAATTTTTTTCTTCTAAACTTGTCCGTTATCCGACTATTGGGTGGTCTTCCTTTATTTTCTGGACCGATGGCTGCTTGACTTTCAGCTCTAAAGTCGAAAAACGTAAGTGGGACGCCATTACGTTGATCTATTTTTAACACGATTTGGACAAACATTTCCTTGAAAGGCACAATAGCGGCAGCAATCAGTTGGACGAGTAAAGACTTGTTCAGCGCGCGGAAATCTTTTCGACGCATCAACATCGAGTGGGCGCTATCGAGCGGTAAACTCGTCCATTGGGCTCCACTTCGCTATGGAGAAGAAGACACAATGGTCCATCTCAATGCAGCTGACGTACTAAATGCTGCTTTCCCCATTTCTCCTTCAATAGCAGCTTTCGGCAAGTGACGGCGGCGGCAGCAGCAACAGCAGTAGTAACAGCTCCGGGTGCAAAGTATCCGGGTTTCCTTCCGTCATCAAGGACAACATCAGTAGTAGTTTGCTCTCACTGGGCCACGACGTTCACCCTTACGATAGGACACGAAGGCAAAGAGATGGTGGACGATGGCTACCTCATACCCTCAAGTCACCCCTTTAGTGCTCAGCTCCGAAAACCCTCATCGTTTGCCCCCAACTCATTCCTCCCCGATCTACGGGCCCCGTGACGGACGGCAGGAACGCCGCCACGCCGCTTTTCACGCTAGATTCCTCTGCCATACAAAGAATCTTTGCTCATGCCTAGCAGTGGACGAGGCCCTGTGATAGCATAGTCGAGATCACACTCGACCTTCGTTATCCCATCAGACTCCAAGGTCGATTAAGGATACAGCGAACGGCCTCAGTGTTCTTATTATATTGGGGATGGCGCTTTTTGTGTTGTGTTATTGTTACTGTTACACTTACGTAGTGGCGGTGGAAGCTTTGCTAATCGGATAGCAGAAATAGCAGTAGTAGCAGCAGCAGCTCATCGAACATCGCTAATGCATCTCTTCGAAGCAAGGATGCCAACAAGAGCTCTTAGCTAAATGGTCTTTGTTCGTTCTATTACCGATAGTTTTGGGAGCACCGACGAATCACAGGCAAACAAGCGAAACATTTTCGGACAAGCACAAGCGCACATCTCCCATAAAAGCCTCGATGGTGAAAAGATATGTACTGATATTTCGTACGTGTAAGATGATCAATTAACCGCAGTATATTTGCCTTATGTTTAGCTTTTGTTTGCCTTATGTTTGAGTACGATTTTCCAGTGACCGTGCTTTTATAGTTTTTTTATGACTTCACACATGACAATGTAGTGCAAGATAAAATCACGATCAGCTATACTCAGATGCTTTTGAACATACGAGAGCTAAATTTACGTGCAGCCTTAAATGCTACTGATTTTATGTCGAAAGACGACATGATGGTTTTTGAGTAGTCGTTTTTCAGCAAGGCTGGATAGCTTGCACCTGTGAGGGGAGAAGATACATGTATGTTAAAGCAGTTTTAAAGTTAACTATCAACAGCTGGATACTGAAAGCGACACGTACTCACGTCCGCGTTGAGAAGCTGATAGAATTTATTTTTCATTTTCAGGTTTACTGGCCTATATGGAAAAACACACGGCGTTTTATCAGTATCGCCGTTTGTGCGTATTATTCATGACGCCTATATTGCGTAAAGAGAAAATACGGACTTAGCCGGGCCAAATTGGGGCTTAGTCGGGCTCCTGTTATGGGTTAAGTAAGTGATGGTATCGCCTATAGCGACACGACCCACTGTCCCACCCAAAGCCCTAGTTGACGCGCCGTTTGGGCAGCTACTGCTACTGTCTCTACGGTTGCTGTGGCTTCTTAGGGGCAATGGCTACTGAGACGAAAGGAAAATGACCGCACTGATACTGCTGCCTAACTTAGATGATTCGGCCTCGTGATGTAGACCCAACTCGGGAAAGGAAGTAAGGAAACAACAACAACAACAGCAGCAGCAGCGGCGTTACTTTTTTCGTGTACCGTTGCCCATAGTGTCTGCGCTTGTGACTATATGTATATGCGTGCGTGTGTTGTCTGTGTACGCGCGGCTTCGCTATAAGATTTTCCGCTTGGAAGGCCCCGACTAAATTGCTTTTTATGTATTAGCATATAGCGAACGACGCCCCTACCATTGCCCTGCTTGCCGTCACTGCCGCCAACGACGGCTGTGGTATGGCGGCGGCCACTGTCATACTGTGTCGTCGCTGGATCCCTCGATGTAGGCAAGAAAGCAAGCAAACTCGCTCACAATTCCCTACTTTATTCCCCTGCACCAGTGCTCATCGCTTGAGCCCTCCTCCTTCATGACTTGACGCACGGTACGAAATCCCCTGTAGTGAGCCCGAAGAGCCGCTTAGCCGCTTTTCTATAGAAAGCCAGTACAAGCAGAAGTGGTGCTAACATTTTGTAGCAATATCAGAAAAGAGCAAGACCAATAGCTACCATGGCTTTTTCCTTCCGACGACAGCCACAACAACAATTGCTGCTGCTGTTCCTATCAGCTGCTTGCGATTTTGCTTTTTTATAGATGGTCTATTTGAACACATTTATGTGAATAGCGTCGAGCAAAAGACCACTGGGCACCAGCCGATTATAACGGCAGTCGAAACGGTCAGAAATGACTCGTAGATTGATAGTGTGATAGGAAGACAACATTACTAGAATTTACGTTTGTCACTTGCCCTGTCCCTAACAATAGTTTGTCTGATGCCACAGGAGAGGGCTAGGTGGCAAACAAAACCATCCCAATTCTTCTAATTCGTCTTTCCAACCGGTCCTCAACCCATGCATCTAAGATAGTTGGACAAATATTGCAGTTTTTGCGTTATTCTCCTATCCCGGAAGGTATCTATCGCAAAAGTTTCCACAATGTTTTCTATAACAAAAGGCTTTCTCCGCCTCGAGTTCGCCTTGACTGCTCTTTGCGGCAAACGGTATTTAACGTCGAGTACAGTCGCTCCGATTCGAGCGGGATATGCAAAGTTTCAACATGACCTAGTGTCACGTTGAAACATAGCGAACCGATGTCAAGCTATAGTTAGCCACGTTATCAGTACTAAATTACTTTTCAATTATGTAAATCGTATCGTTCGAATTGACGTAATTTCGGCAAAGAGCAAGTAAAAAAAAACGTAGAATATACACCTGGAATATCCATCCCTGTAACCTGAACTAGTGGTAATATTTCGTTCACCGTATAATTTGCAACACGTCGAAAGCGAAAAAAGAAAGCCGCTTAAACGCTATATACTGCTATCTGTGTGCTACTGCTACTTAGTCAGTTGGAGATGATGGCCGCGGAAAGACTACGTTCAGTCGCTTGATAAGTACGGAACTGATTTTAATACCCCCTATCAAGAGTAAATTTTCAAAATACGTAACTAAGTAAAGGAGGTGGGAAGAGCCAGCGAACAAAGTGTTTGCCCCAAAAAAGTAGCTAAATAATCTTTGCTGGAACGTAAGTGCTTTATAAATGACACAGTGTTCCTTCCGCGAACATGGTTTTTTTTTTACCATTTTCTTTGTCAAATATAGATTGTCTTACGACGCGCATCTAGACTGAGGAACATAGAACGCTAAATTTTATGATTTACAAATAGGTCGACGTATGCTTGCGCAGTACCTTTTAATGTGAGCAATAACACCTCGTCATAAATTTTTTGTCGACATATCGTTCGTGACAAGTGTTATATATGGCTGTCCAGGCCATACATGGTTGTCGATTAGATAATTTATACCAACAATATTATGTGTACCGTAAGTAAAGTACGCCTCCGAAGACAGAAACTCGTTACCGAACATCTAACTCGACCCTGTGCGCTGCTATATCTAAGCCACTGTTTGAAATCTCAGATTAACTTAAGGCACTTCCTTGACCGACCGCTAATAATCAGCGTCGCCATCGTTCTGAAACGAATTCCTTATTTTTCTTCACGTAAAAACGTATGGCCTTTCTAATTATACCTCACTTTTGCAAAGCTACTGTTGCTTCTCCTTTTCCACATCTAACGTTTAGCTGTGAAACAAGATTCTATAATCTTGTTTCACAGCTAAACGTTAAAGACTTTCCTCACCTGAAGAGAAAGACGGTCCCGTCACAGGAGATCAAAAAATTCTATGACTAACATCTGTTGGATAATCTTTCAATGAGCAACCCCTAAAGTGATCCATGAGTACAAATTGCTCCGGTCAGAAACGGGTGGCACAGGGCACATCAGATTTGGAAAGATACGCACAATTACACCGCAGTGTGCCTTCAGTCAAAGGCTCATCTTTTTCTTTTTGTAAAAATCCAGTCACTTAGTAATTCATTTTAGCAGGTCTAGGTGGACCTGGGAGATCTGCGATCCTGCAAAGAGGAAGATTTTCCAATTGTCAGCCATTTGATTAAACTGTCAATGCAAACAGCAAAAAATAACAGTGCATCTAATATGTGCATGACAATATCTATTTCACTAGTATTAATAATAGTTGCAGTAATCTGAATTCAATAGAAAAACACTCAAAATCGGGATCCGTATATATCCTTTGACCAAAAATTTCGTCTGTTCTCGTAGCCTATGATTCTCAGCTACTTGCGATCTGAAAATGATAACATAGAAACCCTTCTTTCTTGACGCCGCGTCATCGACACAATTCGAATATCCTCATATTGAACAGCCATAGGGATTACGTCGGGTTCACACAATGATTTCACGTAACGTGAGAGAGAAATGAATTCTAGCTAAGTTGTTCGTATGATTCAGGACCAGCCCTCAGGGGCAAGCAGATTATTTCATGTTTACACACAACGTAGGCTCAGTGTATACTACTAATAAACACACGTATGTGTGAAAATAAAGTAGCAAATCAGCAAAAACCCTGCATTTTGAATAATTCCTCAAGCAACCGCTTGCATGATAGGATGCATTTAAGGATTACGTGTTGTGTCACTCAGCTCGTTAGCGCCGTTCGTTTTGTTGAAATAAAATGGGAATGCAACATTTGTTGTTTCTATTCGTTTATAGTATTACTCGAGTCCAGAGGGAACATGGAAGGTAAGTAATAACCGAATCCTGTGGCTAGCGGTTGGAGAAAACACGGGCCAAATGCGTCATGCCAGCATATGGATGACGGTGTCTGGCCTTCCAGATCTTCCACAGGGACCCTTTTCTAACGCCAGCAGCAAAAGTTTGCACTACTTGTTTTTATGAAAGGCGAATGAAGGCGCTCCAACGAGACCTATCTCTTCCGTTCTTTGCTTAGCACATTCGGGACATTCGGAAGATGGCGGCGGAGAGCATTGGGAGGGGCTCTTGGTCGTGCTGAAGGCTAGCAAACGCGTGCAGATGCACCAAGTACAGCACTATAGATGAAAGCGGCCCGAATAGGACATCCTTGAGCGTTCGTAAATGAAGCTTTGCCTGCTCAACACTCGGTGTCTTAGCATTCAGTCTATCATTAAATCTAACAAACTTCTCCACAGTGTGAAACCCGTCAATGGAAAATATCTATTCAAATTATTTATTAGTAACCAGCTAAATTTAGCTTGTAATTAGCATATATTTTATCGTGCATTATACACAATTTCTCTTTTTATACGAACCTCCAGATCACATCTTGCGTTCGTAATATAATTTATATATAATTGGTGTTCGAAGGTTAACGTCCAAACTAAATTATATATGTGGTTACGTAAACTGGAACATTTATGTTTATTCTGAACTTTCTCGACGCCACGTTTAAATACAGAACAAAAAGGAACATACATCAGGTATAAATGGCGTAATGTAACTTTAGACAGTTCTCTGTTACTATCGTTCAAGGTTTCGTACGCACGGAGTCGTTAAATATCCTCATGGATATGGCTCGATTTCAGAGGCCCTGTTAAAGTAAGCAGACGCGTATTTACACTATTAGGGCACGTTCTAACGAATTACAAAGATAATTGATCCCTAAGTAAGATAACTGTACCCCCTTTAGTCAACGTGCTTACACCTATTTCTATAACGTCAGTTTCAATATTGCGTTTATGTTTGTAAGAACACAGCATTGTTATCGAAACTAGCTTTCATTGTGGACGAGAAGGTTTTCTATATTGTTGTCTGCCTGCCTTCCTCCACAGAACCACGGATTAAATATGACGTAAAAAAAAGATGTAGCTGTTAGCGAAGTACACAGTTTTTACATGAAATATTACCTTCTACTTAACAGCATGATTATATGAATTATACTAGGTGAGGCTATTTGAAATAACACCAACACATATTTATCTATTTTCGTTAAAAGGGCAAAAAAACAAAATAGGTCCTCTTGACATCATATTATGCCCAAGTGAACGTCTAGATGTAGAACTAACGCTCAATGATTAACTTGCGGACTGCCCAAAGCCGCCCCATTGACTTCCAGTTCTTTCACATAATAATGTTTCAAACATAATTATTATATTAGACAAAACCAACCAATCCTATTCAATCAGAATGGTGTATTACTAAGGCACAATTTCTCTTCTCGAGTCTTGATTACCTTATTTTAGATAGTATAGTGCATACTCAACTGTATACAGAAGATATAGGCTTAAATCAATTGACAGGGGTAGAAGTTAGCGGATTCGCGGTAACGACACTACACGGATGGTGCCTCGCCTAACTCGCAACTTGTTTGATATTTATCAAACAACTTAACACGATAAGGAGCTTTACGGGTTCCGCAAGGAAGACTACGTTAAATCGCGTCAGCTATCACGAAGTTACACCAATTACAGCATATCTTGATAAATTTTTGACGGACATGATATAACTAGTCACAAATATCACGCTTATCAGAAATATCTAGGGCCGCAACACAGGTATCCTTTGATTCTGACCTCAGCTCTTACGACAGTCGCATGTACACATGGCGCTCGTTAAGATTTTGATGAACAATTAACAGCGCTAAACTTATCACACAACAGTATCAGGGCCGAACAGTTGCTGTTCTGTTTCTTTGATCTATTCAATCTAAAACAGCTCAAACCTGATCAAAGTTTGAACCCCATTTCGTTGGTGGCCTGCAATTTGATCCTATCGCCCTGTTTTAGTAACCCATTGTAATTTTTCAAGTTACTTCATTATGCTGTAGTGATGTCCCATCACGACCGTTTTTAACAATCAAACGATCAAACTACCTTAAGCGATTCTATTATGAGCGTCTAGTTATTTTCGTTCTAATGATCCCGTATCACGTTTTAATTATCTTGGGAACATGCCAATTATTCCCTGCTCCCATTGGCCTGTCATTTCTTATTCCACGCCCCGTTATTACTTGATCTCTAAAGGCAATTGATTTTCGAAGTACTTGAGGTTGCAACTTAAAAAGTAAGCTAGCCATGAAAATGTCAGGTCGTTGCAGTGCGAGAGCAAGCAGAGGCATCGATATTTCTACGCGTCTTCAACCAGTCCCTAGAACTAAAAACATAGGAAGTACAAGAATATACGGTGAAAACCGTTTTTTTAGAATTCCGATTTTGCAGTTGTTGCGAAGAGCTTGGATAACTGAGCAATAGTTACAAAAAGATGTGGTCCAACAATAAGGGATAGTAAGAAAAAATACCCTATTAACTCCCCCACTACCCTCCCGACTATTGACGCCTGGTTTACGTCACCGCCCATGCGTTTTCACAATAGTATTTCCTCATTAAGTCACGCAAAAAAAATCACACAAACAGTTTAGTCAATAAACTAATATCTATATATACTTTGTTTGTACGAAGACTTGGCTTTTTAGAGTTCAAATATTCTCAGTTAATTTGTGACCACGAATGATAATTTAAGCCTATGATAGAACGCCTTGACTCGCTAGATCGTTATGTATCGCTTTATGTATAATGATCTAGCGAGTGTTATTTGTAACCAATAATATTGTTTACTCATTTATCGGACGTGTACAAAATGGCGGAAGCCTTGTTTGAATCCAAAGGCAGAGGGTAAAACGCAATGTCCTTTACTACTTTCTGCGTTGTATATACGTTTTGTTGTAAGGTAACGTTAGCGAAAGTAGTGTTATTAGGTACTTCCTCAATAATTCAAGGTCATCATTATCAACTAAATCAGAAGAACTGCTAGTGAGCAATCGGCGCTTGGAAACCAATAAAAACTAAATTATTAAGGATTCATTAAAAAAAATGCCTCTGTTGCTTACTAATGAGGTCTAAGAAGATCATAACTTATTTTTCAAATGTTGAAGTACCTATTTTGTTATAGTAAAATAAACCATGACTACACTGTGTGATGAGATGAGACTCACAACGGGATTACAGCGACACCTGTGCAATGGCCCTTTGTATGAATTGTAAATGTTAACTCGAAACTAGTAAAATCGCGAGCAAGCAGTGGGCTTTCAGTGGTATTGTATACGACATTGCTGGCAATAGAGTCATGTTTGTAGTATAACAAGAAGCAGATAGGTTGCTCCAGCCGCATGATCAGTATCGGCTTAAAAAATAGCTCTGCTGTCAAATCCTTTCACCGAATTCCAAATTATACGAACATCGGTAGTCCCGTAGAGGGTCGCACAGTGATAAGCTTCGTCCTTCAATTCTCCGAACTGGACTCAAGTAGGACAGGGCACCATAGCTTACAGAAATAATGTCTAGAGAAAGAACTCCAAAGGTTGCTTCTTTGGTGCGTTGCCCAAAAACGTTTGTCTAGTCAGCGTGCAGGCCATCACTCTGTTTGCAACAGTTTAGCTTTGCCGCCTGTACAACGGTCTCGTGCCGAAGCCCCCTGTCTACAATCTCCTCCAGTGTGGCATTCCAGGCTCTAGCGTCCATCTCGGCAAGGCGCAGTACACACAATGCGTTTCCGTTCACGACACAGTTCGAGGCCTGTTGGGAGTGGACAACGAAACGGGGATGAATTCTGGGATGATTGAGATTTGGGAATGGTTGTGCTGGTTGTGGTAAGCGACAAACATTGAGCGCAGGGACGAAGGCGCGTCAGGACCAAATAGGTGGAGCTGGCAACGCCGGATAAGGGTGGACCGAATGAAGGGAGGAGACAGGAGACCGTCGGTTTGTGCTTTGAAATTTAAAATGTTGCGAACGCATCAGCTACGCTGCCAAAGCAGCAGCAAAGTCGTTCCTGCTG